CCAAAACCCCGTACTTCATTTATCAAGGTATGGTTAGGATAATATTTATGGATTTAATTACTTTAACTTGTTATAATTTAATCCTGACTTTTCTAGTCTCTTTAATCAATAAATTTGGTTGGAGTCGATCGCTTTTTTGTCTTAGGACTTCGATACATCGAATCATTTCTTGGCAGTGGTTAATCATGGAAGAACACTAATCTGAACTCATCAAAGTTTAGTCCTCCATTATCAATGAACGAATGCTGCTCTAAAATTTTTTAAATCTCCTTTTCAGTAAGCATTTTTCCAGTTTTAGCAAATGCTTCTCTTAAATTTTAAGGTGTAATGATGCCACTGTTATCTGTATCAAAATACTTAAAAAGGGCCCAAAGTTTTTCATAAGTTAATACAGACTTTAATTCTATTGTAGCAGCAAGGAATTCAGAGTAGTTAATTTTACCATTACCTGCATAGTCCACATTTTCAATAATCTACTGAATTTCATTCATGGTTAAATTATGCCCCGTTGAGGAGAGAGCTTCTTTCAACTCTTCGAAGTTGATCATGCCTGTTTAGTCCTTATCAATAATTTAAAAAGCTTCTCTAAGCGAATCTATCTCATGAGAGTTTAGCATCTTAATGAGAACACTCATTGCTTCTTTTCTAAGTACTGATATGCCTTTGTAATTTCTAAGTTGATCAATAATGTTTAATTCGATTTTCATATGAAGGCTATCATCTTTTTTGACCTCCTAAAACCATGCATGTTGTAAAGCTTATGAGCAGGTAAATCTTTTGACCTTATCTTTATTTAGGAGACTTATTATTAGATCCTTTGCACTCTAGCTGATTGATTAGAATTCTTTTTGAGAGAATGAAACTGACCCATTCTTAATTTTCTCAAAAACCTCTCCAGGGGTGGTACCATAAAATGGAAGATATCCAGAAAGTAAGGTATACATGATGACTCCTAAACTCCAGTTATCGCATTCCATCCCATATTGACCCTGTAAAACTTCAGGAGCCACATAATACGGAGTTCCAACCAGGGTTTTCATAGTAGCAGTTCTTTCTTATATCAGCTTGCTCAAACCAAAATCAATAATCTTGATGTCCTCCCCATCTTCGGTGTACATAATATTTTCAGGTTTTAAGTCTCTATGGACGACGTTAAGACTATGACAGTGGTTAATTGCTTGAAATAATTTCTTCATAATATGAGCTGCCTTGACTTCATTCATCTGTTCATTTTGAGAAGTAATCTTATCGAAGAGATCTCCCCCTCCTAGATACTCCATAACTAGATAAATACTTTTTGGGGACTCATAAGTCTCATAATATTTGCATACATTCGGATGGTCTAACTTTGCTAGTATTCTTATCTCCTCCTTGATTTTTTCGATGTTATCTCCTATTTTCTTCTTAGGCATTGTTTTGATGGCGACTTTGAATTTCTCATTTTAAGTGATATGTGCAAGAAAGACCTTGCCGAAATTACCCGCTCCTAAGACTTTGGAAGTCATTGTGTAGACATTAGAAATTAATCTATAGTCTGCAGTTTAGATATTCAGAGGCTGAATCGGCTTCTTTGAATTATTGTCAGTCACTTTTACTTAGAGACATCCCATGTACAAGTAAGTTCTTAAATTAAACGATTAATTATTATTCAATAAATCTAGGTTAAAAAGTCTTTGTTATTAAAATCTAATTAATAGTGAATTTTCTAAGTCCGGGGTTTTGGGGTTTTGGGGTTTTGGGG